CGCGCTCCCCCCCCTCTCTCTCTCTCTCTCTCTCTCTCTCTCTCTCTCTCTCTCTCTCTCTCTCTCTCATCATGTTGCGGTTTCAAGTTTAAAACAAGTTGAATGCTGCATGACTGAGCAGCATTGTCGGGTGTCATTTGTTATTTACAAATGAAGCTTGCTAGAAATGTCATTTTGCATCTCACTGCATTCAAACAGTGTGCATGTGAAACGCTCATTCCTCTCTTAGTTTATACATTAGGCCTACTAGATTTTCTTTCTTTTTAAATTAAATTGTAATATAATCCGATGGTGCTTTGTAATAAAAACCAAATGAAAACCAATTTTTTTTAAAGGGGTCATATGATGCGATTTCAATTTTTCCTTTCTCTTTGGAGTGTTACAAGCTCTTGGTGCATAAAGAAGATCTGTAAAGTTGCAAACACTAAAGTCTCAAAACCAAAGAGATATTCTTTATAAAAGTTCAGAGTTAACCACGCCTACCTAAAACGGCTCGTTCTAACACGCCCCCACGTCTACCTCACTATGTGGGAAGATTTACATAACGCTGCCCAAATGTTCACGCAAAGAAAGAAGGCGTAACTTTTATTCTCGCTGTAGTATTGTTGCCGCTGCCGCCATGTCCTGAAGACCTAAGCCGGGGCTTCCCCTCACGCTAGGCCTCTGTGTTTTTCATTGCCGCTGATGATTCAAACGTGAGTTTTGAGCAGTAGAGTAGCACTTGTTGTTTGTCATTTCTCCGATCACAAATGCAGACAGAGTTTTATGTTTACGCGGCGCGATGCAATGCCACGCAACGCAACACAACGCGTAAAAAGACAGTAGAAGTCATTATAATCAGTAATTATGTCCCCACTGGATGCAACAAATGCCTCATTTGTAATGGGTTTTAATGTTTATGTCTCATCGCTCCGGCCGGACACGGCATCAACAGTATGGTAGGGGCGTAACATTTCCGTCTCACGCTTGAGGTATTTGGCCAATCACAATGCACTGGATAGCTGGCCAATCACAGCACACCTCGCTTTTCAGACCGATGAGCTTTGTAAAAATCGACACGTTTCAAAAAGGCGGGGCATAGAGGAGAAACAATAATGTACAGTATGTGGAAAATAATGTGTTTTTTTTACTTTAAAGCACATAAACACATTTCATTACACCAAATACACAAAATAATGTTCTTTTTAGCAGCATCATATGACCCCTTTAAACAAAAAAGAAGTATTCATTTAAATTCAGTAGGCCTACATCTTATTTCTTATCATTAAATTAACCCACATTATAGTGACATTATAACCATGGCAAGAATTTTCACTGTTTATTGTGATATATGTATACATTCATATATTTGTGACTGGTAAATCTAAAATTAAGTAATGAGAGTAAGCCTACCCTTATGAAAAAGAAGTTTATTCAAGTGTACTATTAGTACACTTCTTTTAAACTAAAAATAAGAAAGTATACTTTCAGTCTACATTTTATGTACTTTTCAGAAATGGGCTTTATGTACTTCTCAGAAATATACTTAAAATGACATTTAAGTATACTTGACTTATACTTAGAAAAAGTCTAAATATATTTGAGCTATACTTGTGCTCTGGGAATCCATCTTTTCATTGTTATACTGTAGGGGACGCTAGTACACATCTTCTGTACAGAATTTCCAAAACACAAGCGAAGAAGAAACTGAAACAACAGATGCTTCCACATGTAATGTAACACCATCAGACATAAAACAGCATCAAAACTGTGTGATGATACGGAATAAAATGTCGACCCATGAAGAGGTAATGACTGTCAAGCTTTGGGCTGTTGATTGACTCCATCTACGTTTTGATTATCATTATCATTCATCTTTTTTTGTTCAAAATGTTGTTTATTTATTTATTTTTATTTATGAAACTTACTCACATTCATGTGTTTATAAAAAAAGAATGCATGAAGCTAGAATTAAATGTTTTTGTTTAGAAGCAGATACCCCGTTCTTTCTTTTGATGTTTTGTATGTTCAGATATTCATATAACAAAATATATACAAATTAATACATAAATAGGGACATAGTAGTATTCTTAAAGTATGATGTAAAGTTCACTTAAAGAAAACTTACGAGTGTACTTGCAGTATAAAACTACTAAACTAGTTACTAAATGCTACAAGTATTTAATTAGTAAACTATCAGCATGCCTATAAGTTCACTTTTAGTATAGTTGCAGTACAAACTAAAAACATAGATGTAAACTAGCTGTGTACTCAAAGTTCACTACTGTTATACTTAAAGTATACTTAAAAGTATACTTTTATATACAAAAAAGTGGGCCAATTTAGTCCCAAGGAGTATTGAAATAGTACACTTACAAGTATACTACTAGTACACTGATATTTGTATACTTACTACATAAAGTATACTTAAAAATATACTTGAACTTTACTTAAGTATACTTAATAAAATAAACTTGAAGTATACTTCTTTTTGGTAAGGCTACTATATTTTGTTTATATGTAGCCCAATGCTAAAAGTTAAAGGTAAAGGTAAAGCGACATTAGGGCATTGATTAATTTGGTCATCTTAAAGGTGACTCAAATTTTGTTTGTAAACTTTAAAATGTATACTTATATTTTTGACTTGAGGCTCTCGATAATTCGCGCCCTGATAACAGCAACTTGCCACCCTTCTGTCGTTTCATATTATATTATATTATATATATATTATATATAATTTAACCCAAAAAAGTGGATTATTTATGCTCCCAAACTACGAAAAAGCACAATCAAATGTAGGCCATATTAAATGTATCCTTTAACATTTTGTGTGAGAATACTATCCTTTACCGCACTGAACAAGTCAGGTTGCTTCAGACACATCTGGTAAACGATTAATAACTAGGCCTCAGAGTTTCAATGTGTTTGCCTGACACTCTACTTCCCTCTGCTGGGCAAGCTTCAAAATTAATGGGAAGAACTTGGTACTCGGAGGAGCCAGAAAAAAACTTGAAGCAAGGACTGTATGTGATGTAACTTTAGGTAAATCAAACACTTCAGACAGCATTAAAATGATCCTATCTGAAAATAACTATATTTTCCTCTGGCAGACCTAACTTATTTTCAAATTTAATATATATTATATTACTTTGTAATAAAATATTATATTATTTATAATGCCTTAAAGCTATTGTAGAAGGAAGGCTACAATGAGTGAATTTCCTCCATGAGTGAGCCTCTCTTTGTTGTTGTTGTGTACAATAAAATAGCATTTGAGTTATGAACTACTGGTGAAAAATAAAGTACATGTCTTCAATTCCTCGTTTGTGTGTTGTGCTCAAAACACAAGAGGGCAGCAGCAGTCCATCATGAAAACAGATCTCTGCAGCCCTATGAACTAGATACAGTTTGGGAGAACTGTGATTGTGAATATATAGGATATTATGCAAAATATGTAAAAGATCATGCGAAAACGACCGGTTGACTGTACATTATCCGGCTTATAATTTTATAATTTAACCATTATCCTAAAGCTAAGAAAGGAAATACAGCATAATCGGCACACCAGTAAGACACATCACCAGCAATATAGTAATGTTAACTTAATAGTGTATTAAGTTCTCTGAAGGCACAGGATAGCACTAGGTGGATATTTACAACCCACTGCTGGAAACAAAACAATCTGCACAAGCAGCTTGTGAACGATTCTGAACTGCAGGTAAAAACTATTTATGTCCATAACAGTTTTTTAAACATAACATATCAAAGTATGCCCCATTGCTGAATGAAAGGCTAGAAATGCCCCTGGAACCATTCCCACTGAAAAGCAGTATGTCCAGATAAAAAGTGCTCAAACCCATTTAAAACCAGCTAACAGACCAACTTGTCCAAGCCAGGAGACCAGAAAGCGTAGCTGAAGCTCTTTTCCCTCAGCAAAGGCGGTCTGAGGTATAAACCCAAACAAAATGTATAACATTCCTGTGTAAAAACGAAGACGTTCAGCGTTCTGCTCCTTTTCCGCTGTGCTGCGTCCAGCTGTTTTGAAACGTTAAAAGAACGCAGAACGCGTCCTCTGCGTGTGTGAACGGCCCACAAATGACAGGCATAGGACCACGCCTGTCCTAGAAGGAGGAGTGGGTGAAGGCATAAATGCAGAAATGTTTCACTGTCACGCTTTACAGCTGCAAAGGAGCACAGGGCAAAAAGTCAGAAAATGTCCGGCGTGGCATCCACACTCGCCAGGAAGAGAGCCGTGGCGGCTGGCTTTGGGACGAACGCCAATGCGGTGAAGTACCTGAACCAGAACTTTGAGAGTCTGAGAAGTGAGTGTCTGAGCCGTGGGCAGCTGTTCTGCGACCCAACGTTCCCAGCCGCTCCCGAATCTCTGGGCT